ACATATTATTTAGTATTAGTAATGCATAACAACTAAAAGTATTTTTGTTATTTTGTTCTTAAATTCTTTGCATTATCAAATTATGAAAATACTCTTAATTGTTCTGAATTACTAAATACTAAATTCTGTTATTTGTAATAGAGAACAACTATGGTATTTTTGTCATTTGATTAAGACTTCCTAAGGGTAAAATTACATAAATTCCCATAAATGTTGTGCATTTCAAGTACTGAATAAGAACAATTTAGATATTTTTAATATTACTTTTTGCATAAGAGGTATCTAAGTGAAAATATGAAGAAAAAGTAAACCCTTAAATGAGACTAAAGATAATATCATCCTTCAATGATTTTTTAAAGGTTTCATGCCCTTTAATGATATTTTCCCTAATTTTGAAAGAGTCACATGCTCATTTAAGGTGCGATGGAGAGTTATACCCATGAATGAGAGAGAGAGAGAGAGAGAGAGAGAGATTTGGTCCCCTTAAATTTTGGAGAGGGTCATACCCTTAAAATTTTTATTGAAAAGTAAACCACAGTCTCAATCATATAATAAAGTGTGATGTATGCTACTTGGGCCGTTTTTCCATGATGACATAAGACAAATTAGTGATGGGGAAAATTGCTTACTAATGTCAAATAGGCCATAATCCATCAACTGTATTTTACCTGGCCAAAGTTTTGGGATGTATACTAAGATCAAGGTTTATGTAATGCACCCTTCTTGTATGGAGATGTAGGGGCTTGAAAATTTATTTTTATCTTTGGTTATGAAATTGAAAATTAAAAATTGTGCAAATCGAGGAGATATGTAAATACTTAAAAAAAACTTGAAAATGGATGATTCTGATAACTCGTTACACGATAATTATTTTTAAGACCTAAAATTATTTTTTTCCTATGTATCCGTAATTCTTGAAGTCTAGATAATAAATTGGAGAGTTCTCCAACATTAGAATACTCTCTCATAAAGGATTTTTGAGGTGCACACTACTTCATTGCAACTGTATATAAACTTTTTCCGTTTATTGGACACGGTTTGTATGAGTCCACCGACTCATATGTCTTCTCTCTATGATCTATTATTTAGATGGACTTTTAACCACTTTTTTAGGTACATATAATTTCTAATATGGGGATCATGAGTATATAAGGAAAAAGAATTATAAAAATTAAAAATGATAATTTTTTCTTGAGTAATTTTTTCATCGATTGTATATGTAAAAGGTGTGGTTTGTATAGAACCTAGGCTCTAAACAATCAAATTAGAGCCTACCTTCAAATAGTATCGAGAACTGTGGTTTCAATACTGGAAATCTTTGTTATAGTCTTAAAATATTTTCATCTTTATTTATAAGTTTAAAGCTTCAAAAATAGTGTA